TAAAAAATGTCCTAAATAACCAGCTGAAAAGACCCATACTGTTAACATCTTTTAATTAAATAATATATAGGTAGTCCTTGATTTACAATGGGTCACTTAGCGACTGTTTGAAGTTACAATAGACCCTCCAAAAAATACTTAAGACTGGTTTCAAAGTTATTGCTGCTGCAGTGTCCCCACTGTAGTTCACCCTTATGACCAATCGCAGGAATGCTGCAGCATCTCCCCTCCAATCTCCCCCAACTATCCCACTGGGTCCTCTCAGGCCTCAGCCTGCCCCCAAATCAATCACTCAGCCAGATAACAGAAGGCAATTACAGCCTCCAAGCTAGGACCAACTTCCCATTTAGCTACCTAAGAGCCTCCCAAGGCTCCCTCTGACCCTGCAAGTCCGATGGATGGATGGATGGATAAATGGGTGATTGGATGGATAGTAGGTCCTGACCCACAGGCTGCAACTATCCTCCATCTGCCAGCCATTTCTGCTGACTAGTTTTTAGGCTCCATTGCCTGGCTGAATAGCCAGCTTAGGAGCAGGCTAAGGCCTGGATAACCCTGAGGGGCAGGGAACAGAGTACCAGGTGTCTTGGGCAGGGGGGAGCCCTTTGGAGGTCCGGGGCAGGTGAGTTTGGGCCTACGCTAAGCCTCCAAGAGTTTTCCTCTGAGGTACTCCATGCTCTGCTTAATGACCCACACATTCATTTAACAATTGCAATGGGGAAAGCAGGGAAGGGGTCATTAAGTCAGATGCTTCACTTAACTCAGTGGTTCTCAACCTGTGGGACGGGACCTCATTTGGGGTCGAACTACCATTTCACGCGGGTCGCCAAACAACGCAGTCCGCCATTTTTCCCCCCTTTTCCTTAGCTGTGCTACTCCCTTTTATTCTATTGGCTTTTGAAAGCCAATAGAATAGACTCTCTTGAATAGAGTCTAATTCTATTGGCTTTCAAAAGCCAATAGGAATTGTCCAGGCTGTCTCTGCCCTGCTGAGCCCGCTAAAAGTCCCATTCTGCAAACGGTGCTGCACCAGTTAAGTAGTCCTTGACTTACGACCGGTTGAGTAGTCCTCGACTTACGACCGGTTGGGGGTCGCGGCATTAAAAAGGTTGAGAACCACTGACTTAACTGCTATTGTAATATGCAACCATAATGGGCAGGCCCCACTGTGATTGTAAGTCAAGGACCATTTTGGATATGTGGCTTTATATATTTTAGCACAAAGAGCCATTTTTCTTTCTGTTCCATTTGGTTATAAACAGTCTGTCTTTATTTCAAGAAGGTTGAAAAAAAAACCATTCTTTTAAACATACTTGCTGTTATCTCATTTGAAGAAGGGGGGATAGAAGCTCAAGCTGTTGGTTTTTTTAAAAAAAATAATAAAGCTAGCTTATCTATTTAATAAAAATCATGCCAATAAAAACCTTTTTAAGAACTAAAAGTGTTACTACATAGAACATGCAACGAATATAATCTACGTTGCATCCATAAAATCAGGCTTCATAAAACAGTGATATTATATCAAGAAAATAGACTAGTAGGGGAAAAGACTGCATAACCATTTTATACATTTTAGCTTTTTTTTACTACGGTCTGTGAAATAGAAACTTCATTATATACTTTCAAAACTTCAAGAAGAAAATGTATTACATATTATAGTTTGGCAAATAAATCCACAATAGGTGCTAACAAATGACAAAAATACTTTCATTAGCGAACTTGATTCTTAAAAGAATACTGCTTGTCTCTCATGGTGTGAATCTCACAACTAGACAAAAGAGGGTCTTTAATTGTCAGCCAGGATGACCTCCTTATAAAGTCAAGCTTAAATAACCACTATCAGTTCTTCTATCATTAATCTTTCATGGGAGCTAAAGCTTACACACCAACGTTACAGAAATTACAAAACTTATAATCCCCCCTGGGCTCAGCCTGTTTTATCTCCTACAGTTACCGATGTACACTCACCAGTACAGAGTGGAAATATTTTTATATTAACCAGTTTTCTTGCTAAGCTGGGTTTGCAACCTTATTCCGAATTCTGATTTGCATTAGTGACAGTTGGTGCAGATACAACAGTGACAAGATTCATTCAAACTAAGACATACTAAACATTTTGCCTACTTTTCATTTAAAGTTGTGTGATACTTGAGCATTGCTATTTGCAAATAATAGATTATTATGTATAAAGCAAGTCAATGCCTTGTCTAACATACTGCCAATTTTTAGAATATGCAAACTCAGGTACTAATTACATGTCAAAAAGAACACAGAAACATTATGCAAGAAAGAGATATTAAGCAATTCCACAAATATCTGTAATGGTTATGATTATAACATACCTTAACCATGTTATTATACATATTAAAGGCATCATGCAACAATAGCCTGGATTTTCCCCCCCTTAATATTTGCTCAGGCATCTATTTTAGAAATGTGTAGATCTCAGGGAAGTAATCTACAATTTTAATTTTCAATATAGTATTGGTTTATTACTTTATTTTTAGGTAATCAATCTTGACTTAGCATTGAGCCACGAGGTGGCCTACTGCTGAAGACACTCGTCTCCCACTCAGAAGGTTGAGAGTTCAATCATAGATAGGGGCAAAGGTTTCTCTCCTAGGTCGCAAATAAAACATCTGCTGCAAACTCCATGTGGTGTCAAAAAGGGCATCCAGTCAGTAAACATTCAGCTCCATCCAGTCAAGCTGATTCTACCCAAATTAAGGGATTACAGGGTTGTAAAAGGGAGTTTAACCTTGACTTAGTGTAACTGTAAATATATATAGTTTCATTTGCTGAATTTCTAAGTGGTTCTTGGTTATCCACATGCTAACCGGGACCTTGTCTAACCATGCAACACCAGTATTGTGGGAATAGCATTGGTTATATGAGAAAGAAGACTATGGGTTATATGAAGAGAAATTTAAACAAGATAAGGCATCAAAACAGACATCAGCATAATAAAATAAATCTAAAACTTCAGTAGACACTTTAAAGAGCAATTATCATTTATTTTGTTTTATAAACTTTTACTATCAGTATTGAAGAAACAGCCACAAACTATGTGTTGCCACTCTTGAGAGTCTACAAAATACTCCTTGGACCTGCAAGCATTACTGAAAAATCTATTATAACTGAGATAGCTGAGTGACTAGGAGCCTATGGTTTCTCTCTGATATTATAGTAAGGATCCTTTGTTTATTTTTCTGATCTATGAATTAGATTGAACTCTATTCATTATTACTCATCCTGACATCATGTCTTACAAGACTGATCATATTGATACAGTGTATTCTGATGTCTACAGTAAATTCACTAGAACAGTGGTTCTCAACCTGTGGGTCGGGACCCTGGGGTCGAACGACCATTTCACGGGGGTCGCCAAACAAGGCTGTCCGCCATTTTTTCCCCCTTTTCTTTGGCCACGCCCCTGGCACCCGGTGATGTATAAGTGGTTGGGGGTCACCACAACATGGGGAACTATGTTATGGGGTCACGGCATTAGAAAGGTTGAGAACCACTGCACTAGAAGAAAACAGATCAGCTTCTCTTCACAAAGGATAAGGTCAGTGAATGAATGTGCAACCCTCGTACAGAGCAATGTAAATCTATAAGATTGCCATTCCAAGTACCTATGACCTTGATCCTATGGCTTGCATATTTCCAAATTATCACATAACATTTACTGTGATGAAAAAGAAGGAGACAATGATCTACATACTCTCCCAATTTCTCAGAGTAAGAAAACAAAACCACTGCAGTAAAAAAAATGTGAACCAGATTATAGTTCTTATATAACATCAAATTACTGTTTGTTAAAAAGTAGGATTTACTGCCTGGAAATAAGCAAAGTATACAGCATTAGTATCAGTAAAGCAAATCACAAAGCTTTTATTTTACATAAAGAGAGCAGTATTTACATACAATTACAATCCAGGATTCTTGGCTAAGTTTTTATGGTGAATAAGTCACATGCTGGTGCATAAAACCTGTTCATTTCTGTTTTCTGTTCTCTTTATGCAATCAAATGAAATTGAGAACGCATGACAATAAGAACCTAGTTACAATTTCACAACCCAAAAGTAGAAGCAAACAACAATTCAGAATATATTGCTAAGTTAAGATTCTGGCTTGTTTGCAGAGCAGAGTCTTAAACTAGACAATCCATAACTTATTGGACATCCTTTCAGAGATATTTCCTTGCCAGATTCGTCAATGCCTTCAACAATAACAGAGCTTCTAATGTACTGTCTTCACTGGAGATATATTCAGAGATGTATCTGCCTTTAAAATAACACATGTTGAACTATATAGCATAGTCAAACAACAGCACAGGAAATATTTTATGAGATTTTGTATTATGTTGTAAATTGTTTCATATGACATAATTTCTATGTCATAAAAAATGTTTTATAAAATTTGACAAATTTCAGTTCCATTAGAGTCATCAATCCTGGATTTTGGGTGCATTCTGTAAGTTAGCCCATATGAAGTACCTTGATTTTAAAAAAACCTTTGCCCTATAATGCACCGTTTCACCCAATTAAAGGTTACAGTTATAATTTTAATAGTATATTGATAATGCAATAATCCATTAATTAATTCCACCAGTTTATATAAAGGGAAGGAAAAAATACACTGTTAAAACTAATTGTTGTAGTTCCTTTTAAGCTATAGTATAGTAATAGAACAAAAAGTAAATGTCATTTATAAACATTATGAAGTTACTTTGTGTTTAAACATTTTAACTGAAAATGTTAATATGACTCAGTTCATCAGGCTATTTGTATCTCTACGTTTTTAATGAAAAATGATTACTTATTTCTTTATGGCATGGCATTAAATATGCTAACTTAGCCAAAATGGTATTCTCTTATATTCATGAAGCCACTTATGCCAGAAAGAGGCAGAATAGGAATTCAACTAAAGCATTTTTCAAGTTTAAGATAAGGCAGTAAGATTTTCAAATCAGCCACAAAAGAAAAAAAAAAACTTACTTTCCATGCAATAGTGGATCAAAAGGAGGATGCTGAGCTCCATACACATGTTGAATACTAAAAAAAAAAATAAAGAAATAACATTCAATTCAATTACAGCAAGCTTCTAATACTTGGAAGTAAGTCCACAAAATGTGAATGGGGCATATTCAATAATTACTTTCTATAGAAGGTTTCATAATACAGAGTTTATAATTATACCCATCACAGCATACATGAAAGGATCCTAACAACTTTCAAAATATGAAGATGCTTAAAGATCATTACTGGAGCTTTACAGTAATCTCAATCTCATTCCCAACTCCAAGATGAAAACAAAGAGTTGGAAACATGATACAACTGCTTCCTTCCTTGCAGACTGACAAAGCAGCAACTTTGGAATTCTGAGCTTGACTACTATGAGTGCAGAAATTGGGACAATACTAAATGGCAACAAAGAATTCAGGCATCCAATAATCCTATGCTGCTACTGTATCTAATGAACAGTTTTCTGCTTTCCTGATCTGTTAAAAGTAGCAATAGCACTTAAGACTTGTATACCACTTCACAGTGCTTTACAGCTCTAAGCTGTTTACAGAATCAGCATATTGCCCCCAACAATCTGGATCCTCATTTTACTGACCTCAGAAGGATGGAAGGCTGAGTCAACCTTGAGGCAGTGAGAATCGAACTCCTGGATACTTACTGAAAGGAGGAGGAGGAGGAGGAGGAGGAGGAGGAGGAGGAGGAGGAGGAGGAGGAGGAGGAGGAGGAGGTGGAAAACCTACTTGACTATCTCACTTCCATGGAAGCACTTATCACCATCCAGTTCTTAATGGAGGAACAAAATATACTGATGAAATTTTTGACTTGGGTAAAAAGACCATCTAAAAGCAATACAGGCTGATTTTTATAACTACACTACATGATACTAATACACATAAAAGGCTAATATTAGCTTGGCCACAACCTTTGGAAAGCCTTAAAGATCTGGTTGTATTACTGGTCATGGGAGTCAGAAAGTTAGTCTAAGCCCATGAAATGTTATTCTTTAATATCATTCTTGTATTATTTGCAGTAGCCCTTAGGTAAATGTATATAATTTATTGACACAGATATTGTTGTCTCATGCATATTTTGTTATTGTTTTTATGAACTGTTAGCTGCCCAGAGTCACAATGGCAAGATTTAATAGAAGGGGCTCTTCTTGCTTTTGAAAATACATTGTTTGGAATCCTTAAGAATTATGTGAAAACGGAACGTAAACATAGATGAAAAGGAAATTTGAAGGAAAACAATCATTTCTATATGTGAATAGATACTTTACAATCCATTCCATTCGCTAGAATCAATGACCTGTATACATTACAGGAAGGGATATGCTGTACTCTTTAATGGAACAATAATCTATTTACTTATTTGATGTTATAATCACACGTTATTTTACTGAAAATTACATGAAATCTACATTTTTTTAAAAAAATGTCAAAAATAGTTAACAAAGCTTTTATTTGTATTATACTAAAGTAGCTAAAAGAGGTTTTGTTGTTACAGATGAACCTCATATTTATTAAAATGCTTTCAGGCACAACAAAGTTGCTGAAGTTATTCTGGCAGATGTTATCATCATTTAATGGAGGACATTCAACTAGTCTGGAAAATATCACACTAAAATCAAGGTTCACTTATCAAGCTTTTATCTTCCACATCCAAATCCATTCTTCATCCTAAGTCAATCAATTTGTCATGATAAAATTTAGAAATATCATATTCTACCTGACATAACATTCTTCCTATCCAAAATAAAGAACCATGTGAAGCAAATATCCAGATTTACAGTAATCCAATGATCTGCTGCTCTTCCAAATTTATATTCTGAACAAAACTTATGCCTCTCAAAATATTAACTTAAATTAATATGAAAAAAATACTTTATTCAACCGAAATCTCTTTCTATCAAAGATTTAACACCTAGAATGTTTTCCTGAGAGCAATTGGTTATGCAATACTAACTACTGCAGTGGTTCTCAACCTGTGGGTCGGGACCCCATTTGGGGTCGAACGACCATTTCACGGGGGTCGCCAAACAAGGCTGTCCTCCATTTTTTCCCCCTTTTCTTTGGCCATGCCCCTGGCACCCGGTGATGTATAAGTGGTTGGGGGTAACCACAACATGGGGAACTGTATTATGGGGTCACGGCATTAGAAAGATTGAGAACCACTGAACTACTGTGACAAGGTTGAATACGTATGTATTAGATTGTATGATTATTTTATTGAGATATGTGCATAATTATGAAACACTTGTGCATACACATTAATTTAACAACAACCTATGTTTACAGGTTTGAAAACTGTAAGACGTAGGTCTAAACAATCACCACCAGTGATTTGAAAAAGCTCTTTGATGGATTTAATATTTCATCCATTAATACTGGCCTAGATCTCCTTCCAATAATGGCATGATGATGAGATGGCAGGGTGAAGAAGCTATCTTTGTGTCTGGTTGTTTTAGCATGTAATTGTATAGGGTTTCCTGCCTGATCAGGGGGTTGGACTTGTTGTTTGTTGTTAATTGCGAAGTCGTGTCCGACCCATCGCGACCCCATGGACAACGTTCCTCCAGGTCTTCCTGTCCTCTACCATCTTCTGGAGTCCATTTAAATTCACACCTACTGCTTCAGTGACTCCATCCAGCCATCTCATTCTCTGTCGTCCCCTTCTTCTTTGAGGGCAATAGAAGAAGAAGAAGGGGGTTGGACTAGAAGACCTCCAAGGTCCCTTCCAACTCTATTATTATTATTATTATATTACTACTACTACTACTACTACTACTACTACTACTACTACTACTACAGCTTCTTGAGAGAAGTTGAAACAGTTTATGTCCAGGATGCGAGGGATCTGTAGATATTTTTTCAGCCCTCTTTCTGGCCTGTGCAGTATACAGGTCCTCAATGGAAGGCAGGATGGTAGCAATTGTTTTTTCTGCAATCCTAACTATCCGCTGAAGTCTGTTTACTTGCGTTGCCAAACCAGACAGCTATAGAGCTACAAATTACAGACTCAGTAATTCCTCTGTAGAACCGTATCAGCAGATCCTTGAACAATCTGAGCTTCCTGAGTTGACGCAGGAAGAACATTCTTTGTTGTGCTTTTTTAATGATGGTTCTAATGTTAGGTGTCCATTTCAAGTCCTGAGAGTTTATAGAACCCAGAAACTTGAAAGGCTGTATTGTTATTAACACAACTGTTAAGTGATTCTGGCTTCCCATTGACCCTGCTTGTCAGAAGGACACAGAAGGGATCACATTCCCAGGACACTACAACTGTCATATCTATCAGCAGAAAAGGATAACTCCAAGCACTGACACTGAGAGATGCCTTGCCTCCGAATGGGTGTGTTAAAAATTATTTAAGTGATACTTTACTCTGATTTAAAGGCGGCGATTCAGCCCAGGAAGATCATAAAGCAGTGTTTCTCAACCTTGACAATTTTAAGGCATGTGGACTTCAACTCCCAGAATTCCACAGCCAGCAATGCTGGCTGTGGAATTCTGGGAATTGAAGTCCACATGCCGTAAAATTGTCAAGGTTGAGAAACACTGTCATAAAGTGTCACCTCTGCTAGCCGCTGCTTCTGTCGCCCTCCCAGGTCCTAGTTTCTCGCGGCGAAACATCGGCAAAGTACTTCGAGCAAACTTAGCACCACAGTAGGGGCCAGGGCCAGAAGAACAACCGCCGCCGCCCTCGCTCCGACTTCTGCCAACCCCCACAACCATTCCTTCCCAAAGTCATCGCTTCGTATCCTGCGGAACCGAACGCCTCGCGAAACGGGGAGGCAGAAAAAGTAGAGGCGACACCATCGTGCTTCTGCTCCAAATGAAACGTACTTTTCAGGCCGTAGAGCCCGGCCACTTTACACGCGCCGCTTAGCCACCCCGCAACTTTTCGCCTGCTTACCTGCCCGGCACCCGAGACACATTCCGCTTCCAAAACTGCTTCTTCCCCCCGTCGCTCGCCATCTTCCCGTCACCTCATAGCGCTTCTTCTCCACAGCGGGATACAATGCCCGACCTCGACCGGCGAGTCCCGATCTCTTCTTCAACTGAGGCCAAAGGGTTCGGGGCTCACTCCATCCCAGCCTCTTTCCCTTTCCTCAGAGACCTGCGCGCTGCCATCTTGATACCCCAGAGCAATCCCTCTCCCTATTGGCTCCAAGCATCACCTGTCCCTTTTGCCCTATCACAAGTGAACATACTTCCGTGTGGGCTCAAAGCAGCCCAATTAATATCAGCGAATCCTATTGGAGGACAGTTGGAATTTCAATCAATGGGAGTTTCCCTTGGAGGCTTGGGGCATAAGGGAGGGTTTTCTCGGTCGCCGATTGGCTGTTTTAGCATTCTTTTCCCGCCCCCACGTCGACCGCTTGTCACAAGTGCTGGCTTTAGAGAAAAACAGCCGTACAAGCACAACAATAAGAATTATCATCACCGCCCGGTAATTAGTGGCATCGTAAACTGGCCTGACGTCAAAACATTAAAGACAGAAGCCTATATTTAAATAGGATTGCTCTCACATCGCCTTGATTCATTAAATTTCAGAGGATGAGCTGCATAAATAACTTATCTTTATTTTGGGCATATCAATAAAAAGTAACAGCAATATAAGAACTACAATAATTTCGATCCTGGCAATAAAACCTATGAGGTATTAAAAGAATATCTAAAGGCAAGCATCAATATCATGATGCAAATAATATTAGAACAATGCTTATGCAAGGGATCATAATATTAAAATGAGACTCTTAACCAGGAGGTGAAAATAAAGTAGGACATACAATGTATAGCATTTCTTTAAAACAAGCACGTCAAACTGCCGGCTTCTGGCCGGATGCGTCACACCAAAACTGTGCCCACCTCATTGCCAGCAATGGGGGGGAAGTCACAATATGTCGTGCAATGTCACGTGACATCGCGAGTTTGACATGCCTGCAATTTAAAGTATGGTCCTAGGCACCCCAAGAGTCCCCCAAGATGATCTCTGGATTCTCCAAATGAAGGCAGTCTATGTAGAAAAATAATACAATATTAAAATCTCATCAAGTAATCTTGAGAAATGGTAATACAGGTAGTCCTTAAGTTACAACCATTCTTTTGGCAACCTTTTGAAGTCACAGAGGCACTGAAAATGACAACAATCCTAGCGCTTAAGACCATCACGGCATCCTCATGGTCATGTGATCAATGCTTGGTAATTGACATGTAAAGTATTTATGACAGTTACAGTGCCGTAGTCATGCGATTGCCATTTGCAACTTTCCCAATTGGCTTCTGACAAGCAAAATCAGTGGGGGAAGCCAATTTGCTTAACGACCACATAATTCACTTAAGAACTGCAGTGATTCACTTAACATCTCTGACCAAAAAAAAAAGCAATAAATTTGGGTGTGACTAACTTAATCGCTTTGCTTAGCAATGGAAATTTTGGTTCCAGTTGTAGTCAAGAGCTACCTGTAGTACATGCATCAATTTTAATTTTTAATATAAATTATTTATAAATATAACCCAACAAAAGCTCTTTTGGAATCCACAAGAAGCACTGGAATAGTATAATTCAACTTTATTCAAATTTAACTCCAATTTAACACAAAGATGTAAAAATACAGGAAAAGTTCTTTTTTTTTAATCTATTGGGTTATAATCAGATATAAGATACAACTGAATGATACATCGTAAAATGTAAAATGTACAATTAACAGTCTTGGTTCATGTGGGTTAACAGTAGGCTAACAAAGTAGCCGCACAGAACTTTGTGACTGCATCAGAAGCACGCTGGTTTGTACTGTAGTTAATCATCCATAGATGTCCTGATACTGGGTCAAGGTTGTGTGTGTAGAAGAATGACACTGTATCAATAGATAGATAATTTTTTACAGTTAATGACTATTTCATAAAACACATCACATGAACTAATATTAATAGATTGATTAAGTAGGTGTATCAAACTGCTACACATCTTGCATATAACTTGACAAAGTTTAGACACACTTAAACAGAATGCTTTTGAGTCTGAAAATAAAGTTGATTAAAATGATTGCGGAATTTGATTAGATTCAGGGTTAATAGCTCATAGCAAGTATCAGCATAAAATAAATCAGAATAAGATAGATCTGATTATTTCAATTACTCCCTCTCTGCATGGACATAGTCCAGATTCAAAATTCTCTCAACTCAAATGTATTGGTTTGTATCAGAGGATAGGCTCAGCATGCAGCTCATCAAATCTCCCTGGATATTTCTTTTTTATAGGTGTAACATCCTCCTGAATGCACTGATACAAAGAGTACAATTGTTCAGTTGTCATGACAACTATATAGAAACGCTGCTGCCTTCTTCCAGGACGTTTTGTTTTTCCTTCCCACTCTTCAACTTGCCGATTACCTGATGGTCTCCCATCCAACTACTAAGCAGACCTAACCCAACTTAGCTTCTTGAACATAGATAAGGTCAGCTAATTTAATATTTGTACAAAAATACAAAGAAAAAGCAGGAAATTCTTATTCTTTGCTCTTAACTGGCTTTCACAAAAGAGAAAATGCAGACAGATTTTCCTCCTCTCTCCAACACATACTTGTCTGGATTTCACTGGAAAAAAGTAGAAATTTGTCCTAAGCAGAGCTCCACAATGTTTATTTGGAATCCATTTAAAGCACTGACAAATCAGAAATTAATCCAAATATTTGGCACTGCAACAGCACAAGAGCATGGCCTGAAAAAGGATACTCAAATGGGGACAGAAACCAAGATGGAACAATTAAGGAGGCAGAAACAGATATACTCTAGTCCTAATAATAGTTGCCAAATTCATTTAGCACACGCAGGACTACTAGATAGCAACTGATCACTTACTTGCCTCCCAGCTCTCCATGGCATAGCCACAGCAGTTATTAGACTGGATGGCTAAGTGTCTAATTCAAGGTCTGTCATAAGGAGAATTGTGGATCCTAATAAGTGCTCATCACTGGGACTGGACAAGTAAATATCTGGTTGGAGGCAACCTAAAACTTCTAAAAAATTAGATCTCATCGATTTGCACATAAAAAAATCTCAGATGCAGTTATTTGGAGGAACCACTATGATACAAAAATTGATCCAGGTTATATGTCCTCACTGTGGATTCTGCCTGAAATCACAATCACAAAGCGTTGCACCTGTCAAGGGCTATAATAATCACAGATCTAATTGTTTCTACTTCCGCTATGACACAAAAATCTGGATCTAAGGTGCAGATAATTTTTCACAGGGTTTATTTGAATCTACTGTAAAAGCTACATGGAATTAGCTGTAATAGACACAAATCTTCCAGTGGACAGTTTGTGAGCCACGTGATTTTGAACTTCACTGGGTCAATGCTTTCAAGAATTTTGAGAAATGGAAAATGCAACTCGTTGTCATACATTGAAGACTGTACTATACTGTTGTCCACTGCCCAAAACCTACTGCATTACTCAATGCTTTTTTTGTCATAGAACGCACGGAACGGCATTATGGCAGCTTTTTTTGAATGGAAGAACCGGTTCCTTCTAAGCTGCCAGCACGAATACAGGTAATCCCCGAGTTACGAGCGTTCACTTAATGCTGTCATGCTTCCCCCTCCCTTTCTGCCACGTGGGACTCACCTGGAAAAGGTCTGTCTCTTCTCTGCTGCAGTTCCTGCTGCCACTTTAAACTGAGGCCAGGGGACGTGTCCACAGCCCCCAGTGGCCCGATCCAGGCTCTGGAGGCCTGGAAAAGATCTCTGGAGCCCAGATCTATGGCCGCGGAACTATTTTGCGGCCCCCCAGTGGCCCGGTCTGGACTCTGGAGGCCTGGAAAAGACCTCTGGAGTCCAGATCTATGGCTGTGGAATGATTTTGCGGCCCCCCAGTGGCCTGATCTGGGCTCCGCTAAAGGAACGAGATTCATTCTATGAGTTTTCAAGTTACGAGTGGAATGGGCAGGCTCCATTACACTCGTAACTCGAGGACTACCCGTAAAGCTCTGGCTCGGTGAAAGGAAGCTGCCCGGGGAAATTGGGGGCATCGAAGGTCAACCCAGAAACACTTCCACAACCCTGAAAGCAGACCCTCTTCTCGGCCTTGGTTCATGGGGCTCCCCCCACCATCACTGTTTGTCCTCACCCCCGTGTTGGCCACCAGGGACCAGGACTGACTCCTGGAGCAAATCTCTTCGAGGGACAGGCGCACTCCCAAAGCAGCAGCGCTGCCACTGCCTTGGTCACTCTGGCTCTGGAGGAAGCCTTTGTGTCATCAGAGGCGGAGGAGGACGAGGTAGCAGAAGACATGCCGGCTCCGAACAAGTGCCCTCTCAAAAGCTGAAACAATGGCGTCTGTCAGCTGACGCTGCTCACGTGATCTGCGCCTCAGAAGCTCCCTAAAGTGGTTTCTTCTCCTCCTCCCCCCCGTTCCGTAAAGGGCTTTTGACTGGAGCCGGAGCTGTGAGTGAGTTCCGGCACCTTTTTTTTTTTTTTTTTTTTTTACAAAAAAAGCCCTGACGTTACTTGTTTATATCAGAGAATCATCACAGTATTTGCCAGAAGTCATCAATTTGACATTAGCTCTTTGATACATTTCTAAAGAGCCAGGGACAATATATCTGAATTTTGCACAACTTATGTTAATTGTAACATCTTATCCCTCTGTCCTTCAGACAGGATGTTCAGTTATAAGCTCAGCATGTTGTTTACTGATCCTTCATGTTAACAGATTTGCATAGATTACACATAAGAAGAATTGCCTCTGGTAACTGAAGCTGGCACCTAAGTCCATGTGAGTGACAAGATCATGAAAATATTGTTGCAGATTCCTATTCAGATAAATTGAAACTTAATTCAGGGAGTGTCACTGTTTGTAAAAAAAGAAAAGAAAAAGAAAATAATACCTTATTTGACAGTCCACAGAGATGATAAAAGAATAATACATAAAATATTCATTTAGTTTTCACAAGTTTGATCAAATACAGCATGCTTTGATTTATAATATCATGGATATAAGCAGGCTGTCATTTTATACTATTAACATGCAAACTCCAAGGTGGGTGGAGTATGTTGCACTCCTGTTGGAGCTCTCTAATCATAAGTCATGACACACTAATTATAAGAACAAATGTATTTGGAATAGTTGGCAGGCATAGTTTAGACAGAAAGGCACAGTGGT